AGATGTTTACTTTAGACGTGATGCGTTCATATAATAACAGACAAATAGACAGACAGACAATTCTAAAAATTATAAAATGTTCTTATTTAATTATTTTCAGTTCCCCATAATGATTTTAGCCACCAAAATATATATACAATGTACAGAAAGAGACACAACATGTTATCATCATTTTTATTATATGATGTATATATTTAAAGAGAGATGGCGCTGCTAACATCAATTCTAAAAATAAAAGAGATTAATTGACGCGATTGATACATTATATAAAACGCAAGAGAACTTATAAATCAGTGCCTGCACAGTAAGCAAAAAATAAAGTTTGACTCTCGCCAAAACCAACGCAATTGTTAATAGCTCTTTTAAAATTTGATTTACCACATAGAGTACTCGGCGGTAAGGAATAAATTGAGTTTTAAGTTAAACGCAATAGGGCAGCGAGTAATATAATAAAGATTAGCAGTAAATATGAAAACTCATCTACAGGAAAAAACCACATTGTTACATTTTCACTACACCACCATCTATCGAAGAAATGGGTTAACTATTGTGCTTCAGATTTAGTTAATAAGGTTAATATATTTTTGTATAATATATTTAATACGTTCTTTAATACTTTTGTTTACTGCATTTTAGATATACATAATTATATCATTATTTTACATAATTTAACTATGATTTACTTATGATATGATATTAGTTTAAAATGCACTTGATGACTCAAACAAAGCCACCGTTGAGCAAATTCGTACCTATACTTCCCTACCCATACTTCAGAATATTTATCATAACTTTTGATGGAATGAACTGATTTTAATGAAATAAAGACTAAATGTAACCCGAAGATACACTTTATAATTTCCTTAACAATTCTTATGATATAAATTAGTACTTTATACGTGATACGTTAACAAACAAACAGACAGACAGACAGACAGACAGAAAATTCTAAAAATGGTAGAAATGTATTTAATTACTTATTTTTAGTACCCCTCAATCACTTTTATTACAAAAATATAAAATGTACAGACATCTGCTATTTACAGTTTTATTATATGTATAGATTAGGGTGGCGCGCTTCAAAAAATTAAACCCCATAAAATCCAGTCGTAATAAATTCTACGCGGGCGGAGTAACGGTGGACAGCTATTATTTTATAAAACTGACAGTGCATTGAACTTACAGTCCATCTAATGATAAGCAGCCACTGCAGCTCATGTACACCCAGGGCTAGCATGGGCAGGAGACAATTTCATCCCCGGGGAAAGGAGAAAATGTTTATCCCCTCGCTTAGAGCCACGTTTCGAGCATGGGCACACCGGTGGATATAATATCCACAGAAGATAAAATGGGAGAAAGACTTAGACTTAGATAGACTCTTTGTATGAATATAAACTTAAGCCCACGTGCTATGAAGTAGGATAGAATTGTCCCTTTCAAATGTTAAAAAAGCATAATTTTTTTTATCTTTCATTTGACTCCATGCTACAGACAGGGGATATATATCTACTCGTTATGTCAAACAGGGATATACTTCTCCCCGTTGCCGGGCTTTGGCATAGGGACAAGATAATTTTATCTCTTGCCAGTGGATATAATCGGGGGATAAATTTTTTGTCCCCAGCCCATGCTAGACAAGTACAAACAAAGAAGTCTTCAGATGCGTTGGCACATCTAAGGACTAAGATGGAATGCCTAAGAGACTGTAATTATATATGCTCAAGCTCTACAAATTTTCTAAAGCGTTAATATCACGGTGGACATTATTTTTTTTAAATTATTCAGCATATTTATAAACTATCATGGTAATTTCAACATAAAAGAGAATTCCCAGACACTGTCCCTAATGCCCTACATTCCCCATTAACCGCAACACGTGCCTGTATAATTAGATGTACAAATTTAACGTCCGGAAATGCAAACACTGTGGTTAAATTCGTGTTTTAACTCAGTAACTGGTTAATTTATTATCTAACTAACAATACGAAGGTGTTTATCGTGGTAGGTACCGTTTATATTCTCCTAGTCAATTTGATCAGTAACAACTCCCAATAACTGTCGAAAGCTATCAACCGTGCTGAAGTATTAATACAGAGGTAGACCTTACCTTTTTCTTCTTCATCATCAGCTTGTGAAAGTCCACTGTTGGACGTGGGCCTCTTCTAACTAACAACACGAAGGTGTTTATCGTGGTAGGTACCGTTTATGTTCTCCTAGTCAATTTGATCAGTAACAACTCCCAATAACTGTCGAAAGCTATCAACCGTGCTGAAGTATTAATACAGAGGTAGACCTTACTTTTTTCTTCTTCCTCATCAGCTTCTGAAAGTCCACTGTTGAACGTGGGCCTCTCGCACTGGACGGAGGTTATCGCCTTGCAGATTATCCGATCGCAGTACATTTCGCACCATTGACGCTACTCCTCGTCGCTGGTCTGAGTGAGTATATACCGCCATCTATTGAAGCCATAATACATTTTTGTAATTGTCTTATTTCATTGTCACCTTTTACGACGCCCATAGAATGATATGGGGTAATCGATTATCTTACACCGCCACTACACGGCAAAGTATTATTGTAGTCCTTACCTATTGAAATATAAAAAAAATAAACGTGTGTGTACTTTTGTACGCACGTAGGAAGTTAGATTTAGCGTAACAAAACAAAAATACCTAACTAAAAATAACTACCTTAAATATAGTTATCAGTTCCCACGAAAACTTGAGAGACAAGTTACCCAATGAAGTTGTCGCTTTGAGGTGTCAGTGTGCGCGCGCATCGTAACAACTTCATGGTGTCGTTTTTAGCTGTCGGAGTGCGGGCGAATCGTAAAAAAATTCACTTTTACAATTTTTCCCAAACGCCCCAAAAGAAGTATAACTTCAAAAAATAAAATAAAATCAATTTATTTCAGACAGTGTCCACGCAAGTGACATTAGAAAAAGACATTACATTATTGTAAATTTCATCTCATCTAATTTCATTTCATGTAATTCAATTCAATCTAATTTATCTATCTAATTTAATTTAATTTAATGTAATTCAATTTAATTCAATTCAATTTAACTTAATTCGATTGTTTAACATAAAAACTACTTAGTATTAATTACTTTAATAATAATAATTTATAATTTAATTCAAGTATCTATATAATATCAATTAAAATATCTCTGTAATAATAGTGTAATCGAAAACATTCCAATGTAGTAGTATATGAGGCACGAACAACTAAAAACATCCAATTCCGAGTGTGAGATTCAAACCCAGAAAAATTATACATAAGTAAACTATAAGCTATAAGAACCAGAGTACTAAACCTATCCATCTGCAGAGAGGTGTAAGATGGGGTGATTTAATATCCCCGAAACTCTTCACCGCTGCATTGGAAGACGTTTTCAAGCTATACTGGACTGGAAAGGAACGGTATTAACGTCAATGGCGAGTACATCACTCGTCTTCGATTTGCCGACGACATAGTCCTTATGACAGAATCGCTTGATGACCTCAATGTCTTTCAATAGATATCTACAAAAGTTTTATTTTAATCAGTCTCATTGGTTACAACTAGATGTAGTCATTATCACTCTCTAAAAATAATAATTAAATCAATAAATCATAAACACTTTCCGTAATATTAATTATTAACTAAAATAAATCACCAAAAAAGTTGGGTATTCCATAATAGGGTCACGTCTCGTTAATCAAAAGAAAATAATAAAACTAACCCTGCAAGCTAAACCCTTGGTTACGTAGTACTATTATTTATTCTGTGCCCTGGGGTGTCTTCGATTGAACAATGTTAAGCCCCGTCTCGTCAACGTTGTAGATCCTAGTTGGTGGAAATTTAAAAAGCTCAAATTGCTTTTCCAGTAAATCGAAGAAGAATTTAACATTTTCTATCGTGAAGCCTTTAACCCGCAAATGATGTACCAGTAAGTTGGACCGGAGAAAGTTCTTTATGCTTCGAAAAAAACCCTTTTAACTATTTACGTCCAGCTGTTCTATTATTAAAAGGATGTGTTAAATTATTTTTTACCGCCAACTGATATGCCATTCTCTTCACATCATTTCGTGTTAGCCCAAATACCATTTTTTTCATTTGCTTGACATACTGTACTAACATATGTTCAATGTCAGGTCCCAAACCTGTTTTACGAACCAAATATAGACTATATTTGGTTCGTATCATAGCAGAACCGAAAGAGGGTAGTCCGAGGTACATTAAAAACCTGTGCAGCTTTCTTATAACCCATTTTTTGGGTTTTCACGGCTTTAATAGCATTTTTCATATTGATTTTGTCCCATGTTTTTCGCATTTTTACTGGTGGGGCTTTTCGCATTTTGATCACAATCATATCTGTAAAAGAGAGAAATAGTAATCAGACACCATATTAAAAACTTGCTTTCATTGAGGTTCTAATATAGAAAACTATTCCACATTAGGACCTCAACGGTATTCCATATTACGAACAATTAAATTTAATTAATAATATTAGGATGGTGTGCCCTACAGGCACATTTGTGTGCTGGATTGGTGGAGAATAAAACCGCTGTGATATTTTTCTTTCTTCTATATTTGGTGTTTTCCTTGAGGTAGCTGGCCGCCGACTGTGTCGAACGACGAAAATCGCCCCTCTTTTATACCGCCTCGGGCTGGGTCAATGGATACGGCCGACGCATCGTACAAATGGCGTCGACCAATCAGCGCGAGGCGTGACAGAGCAAGTGACGATGCTGAGTCCCGTTACATTGTTTGTCTTAAGCTAGTTCTATATCTTACTGAGTCATTGTTTACATTGTTTACCTTAAGCTAGTTCTGTTATACAAAGTGACCAACTAATTTTATTACACAAATATAAGCTCTACACTATTATTTTCTTAACATAAAATGCTTATATCCTATCTAAACTATAATCTCTATTAATATAAATGTTTATCCTATCTAAGTACAAACTAACTATATAATATTTATTCCATTAATATAAATGTTTTTGTCTTATTTATGTATCACTATTTGTTTTTCTCTTGTCCCGCACATCACTCCCGCCGTGCGACCGCGTCGCATCAGCTTCCGGTGCGGGCTCGACGTCCGTAGATAGAGGCAGGATCACAAGCTTCCTTACTGGCCGGCGTAGGACACCTCCCTTAGTTAGCACGTCCACAGTCCGCACGACGTTGTCGGGACCCGGATATGTAGCGATGACTCTTCCTCGTATCCACACGTTGCGAGGCAGGTTGGGATCGACGATCTGTACGAGGTCGTCGACGCGTGCTGCTTGGCCTTGTCCGTGGGGCTCCCTCCGGTGTTGAAGCTCAGGGAGGTACTCCTTCACCCAGCGTAACCAGAAGGTGTCGGCTAGCCTCTGCGCGGCTCGCCAACTTGACCGTGAGAGGGCGTCTCGTTCGGTGAAAGTGCCTAGCTGTGGTACTCGTCCCGGTCCTCCCAACAAGAAGTGGTTAGGAGTGAGAGCTTCGGGATCCTCTGGACTGACTGAGACGTGAGTCAGCGGTCGGCTGTTGACGGTGTATTCCACTTCTACCAGTAGTGTCGTGAGGACTTCCTCCGTCGGATGACGTTCGTGCAACGTCGCGATAAGAGCGGTCTTGACGGAGCGAACCATTCGCTCCCAGGCTCCGCCCATAAATGGAGCTCCAGGCGGGATGTAGCGCCAGGAGATAGTCCTTTTTGCTGCTTCTTCTGCGGTCGCTGCGTCGACCGCCTGTCGTAGTTCCTTATCGGCTGCCTTCAGGTTGGTGCCGTTGTCTGACCATATTTCTGTCGGGCAGCCTCGCCGTGCGATCATCCGCCTTATGGCCATTACCGCGGAGTCAGCGCTAAGTGAGCCGGCAACTTCTAGATGTATGGCTCGCGTAGTGAGACATGTAAAAATGGCCACATATCTCTTTTGTCGAGTTCGTCCGACGGTCACCGAAAGAGGTCCGAAATAGTCCACCCCGGTGTAGGTGAAGGGGCGCTTGTGGTGAGCTAAGCGACACGTTGGCAGGTCCCCGGTTCTCGGATGCGGCGGTACTTGCGTCTTCATTCTGCAGAATAGGCATTTTCGTAGTATTGTGCGTACGATAGGGCGCAGTCTCAGTACCCAATACTGCTGCCGGCACTCGTTAACTGTGGCTTCTACACCGGCGTGATGGAGTTGCCGATGTATAGCCTGCACCCAGAGCTTGACTGTGTGATGATCACCGTCAATTATCAACGGGTTCTTGAATTTTTCCTCCATGTCGCAGACTGCTCGAATACGACTTCTAAGTCGTAGTGTGCCGTTTATTGACTCGACGCTGAGCTGGCGAAGGCGGCTCTCCTTATTGATCGGCTTCCCGCTGTTTAGGCTGTCTATTTCTTCCGCAAAGGATTCTTCTTGGGAGGATCGCATCAGAAGCTCTTCAGCTGTCTTAAGCAGCTCGGCTGAGACCATTAGCGGCTTTATGTCTTCTGGCGACCGCTTCTTTGTCGTCATGTGGTTGACTCTCTGTTTGGTGTTTCTGCAGAGTTGAATGAACTGTAGAACACGTGCGGTTGAGTATCGGAGTCGGTCCCAGTTGGAGAACTTCGCTGGATCAGGTAGACCTTCGGCAAGCCTCAATCTTCTTTTGTTGCTCACGTAATGTGTCCTTTCTTCGTCGGAAGGTTCTTCCGCTGTTGCTCTTGTGGTTTCTGTCGGCCAGAAGTCTTCTGTTAGGTATAAGAAGTCAGGCCCTTTGAACCATCGATGTTCTTTATTAAATGCTGCTGGTACGTCTCGTGTGGCGTCGTCCGCCACGTTCAGCTTTGTCGGAACCCAGCGCCAGTCGTTAACTTTGGAACTCTCTTCTATTGCTGCTAGACGGTGAGCCACGTAGGGCTTATATGAACGTGACCCTGTCCTTATCCAGGTTAGTACTGTCTTGCTGTCTGTCCAGAATACTTTGCGGTCAGGTTTCCTCTCGTGTTCTTCGACTACTGTTTCTGCGAGCCTGGTGCCCATGACTGCTGCCTGTAGCTCCAATCTTGGGATGGACGTCAGTTTTAACGGTGCCACCTTTGCTTTCGCCACAATAAGGGATAGGTGGACCTCGCCTACTGCTGTTACAGCTCTCCAAAAGAGGACCGCAGAATAAGCTGACTCGCTGGCATCGCTGAAGACGTGGAGTTCTAGGGAGGCCGCGTCACTGTAGTGAAGATATTGTCGCGGGATTGCTATTTCGTGGAGGCCTTCCAGATGCTCCATCCACATTTTCCACTGCTCTGCCAGGTCTTCGTCGATCTTGTCGTCCCATGCTGTTCCTCTACGCCAGACTTCCTGGAGGAGTTGTTTTGCCCTGATGGTGATAGGCGAGGCGAATCCGAGCGGGTCGAAGAGCGACATCACTATTCTCAGTGCTTCCCTTTTCGTCGGCTGCTTCCCTTCTAGGAGTGTTGAGGGTATTCTGGCTAAGTTGAGGTTGAAGGTGAGTTCGTCCGAGTGGATCTTCCAAACAACACCCAGAACTCGTTCCATCTTTTCTTCTGTTTTGTAGAGTTCCATGTCTTCTGTCTGGCTGTCTTCTCCAAGTGTTTCTAGGAGTGATGCTGAGTTTGATTTCCACTGTTTCAACTCGAAGCTGGCTTTCATGTGCACGGCTCGTACACTCTTCGTGATGCGTTTGGCATCTTCGAGGGTTCTGAAGCTGTCCAAGTAGTCGTCGACGTAATGCTTCATTATGATGGCCGCTGCGGCTTCTGGGTGAGTTTCCCCGTGCTGTTTGGCGTTTAGGTTCTTGACGTATATTGCTGTCGAAGGCGAACTCGATGCTCCGAAAATTAATGATGTCATTCTGTACTCTTCCGGAGGTTGGTTGTCTCGTCGAATCCCACGCCATAGGTACCGCAGTGCGTCCCTGTCTTGTTCTCGCAACTTGACTTGCATGAACATCTCTTTGATGTCCGCCGTAACCGCGATCATGTGTTGTCGGAAGCGCATGACGACACCTGGTAGCGATTGTAGTAGGTCGGGCCCTTTGAGTAGCATGTCATTAAGTGCCACCCCTTTGGTCTTGGCTGCGGCATCGTGTACCACCCGTAATTTCTCCGGTTTCATTGGGTTGACTACTGCAAAGTGAGGTAGGTACCAAGTTTTGTCAGCTGTCTTCTGTTTTGGGGCGGGTTCGGCGTACCCCTTTGCGACGAGAGCGTTCATTTGTTCCACGTATTTCTTCTTTAACGTGGGGTCACGATCGATCTTCTTTTCTATGTTGAAGAGCCTCTTCAGCGAGTTTTCGTAATTGTCTGGTAACTTGACATCGTCTTTGCGCCAGAGAAGACCGGTCTGGAATCTTCCTTCTTCTGTCTTCGTTGTGGTCCTTTCCAAGATACGAAGTGCTTGTTCTTCTGGATCAGTCTTCGGTCTCTTGGGCTTTATACAAAGTGCGTCCATCTCGAAGTATCGCTTCACGAGGTCTTCTAGATTCTCCTCTGGATCTTCTACGATGTGTGACACGAAATCGATGTTCCGTCCGAAGCTTCGTGTCTGGCTGCCGTGGAGTACCCAACCTAGTGGCGTGAGAGATGCCACTGGGTGGTTCTTGTCTCCTTTTCTTACTTCCGATGTCAGCAGAAGATGCCAGTTATCTTGTCCGATCAGCACTCGTGGCTTGGCGTTTGCATATGTGAGATGTCCTTGGATATCAGAGAGGTGTTGACACTCCTCCACTAGATCCTGTGGGACCCGTTGAGATGAGACTTGCAGGTTCTTCACTGTGCGTGCTTGTATTTGTTCTTCATGATCGTTGAGCCCCTTTAGTTTGATGGTGACTCTCCTCGATGCTGACTCCGATACTTTCTTGTCGTTGATGGTTTCTATCTTCAGTGGGTCTATGGGGCCCGTTGCTCCGACGCTTGTTACTATACTATCGTCGACGAGCGTGACTGTTGAGCCGTCGTCCATCAACGCGAAGGTGTTGACAGCTCCTTTTGGTCCTTTGACCTGGATCGGTAGGATTTTTAAGTATGATTGCTTCTTGACGGTCCAGGTTGAGTTGATGACCTCTGTTGCCCCTTGATTTTCTTTTGCTTCTGAATCTTCTGACTTCTTTTCGTAATGCAGCATCTTGTGGTGAGAGTACTTGCAGCAGTTGACATTACATGGCTTGGGTCGGCAGTGGTGTGTCTTGTTCCTATAGCGAAGACACCTGAAGCAGAGGCGCTTGGACTTGGCCATGTCCCATCTTGCATTTGCATCTAACTTCTTGAATTGTTCACATTCTGTGGCGTTGGTGTGCCCCGTATCTTCACATACGACGCATCTTGGTATGTATGTCTTCTCAGTCACGTTGTTGATCCTTTGAGTCTTCCTTTGTGGTGCGGCTGTAATAGGCGGTGTCATCTGTTCGGGCAGCGCGTAGGGTCCACACAGTTCTGCTTCCCTTTTGAAGAACTTCTCTATCTTGATGAGGCAAGGGTCTTCACGTGGCTGCATGGCTGAGAAGTCGTAGTACCTATAACGCAGAGTTGGCGTCAGTTTGTCTACTATTGTCTTCGCGAGTTCAGGATTGTACATGTAGTTAAAACAACCCAAAGTCTTCAGTGTCGCCACTACGTTGGAGATCTTGGTGGCGAATATGCATATGTCTCTTGGTGACTCAGTAAGGCGCGGCAGACCTCTAAGCGTCTCCATCTCCAGCATGGCTATTGACTCTGGTCTTCCAAATCTTGACTCCAAAGTCTTCATTACTTCAGCCGGGTGTGCGTTTGTCATAAGTAGGCCTTCAACTGCTTCCTTGGCCTTCCCTTTCAAGTTTCTTCTGAGTCGATTCGTATTCTCAACTACGCTGAATGTCGCTTCTGTCTCGTAGTAGGCGGCGCGAAAGGGTAGCCATTCCTGATGCGACCCGCTGAAGAATGGTAACTCGACGAACTTAGGTCGTTGGGCGGCGCTGACAGCCCGAGTGATGGCTTCAGCCAGGAGGGCTACGTCAGTTTGACCTCCCGCCGGTGACTGATGTGTTTCTTCGTGCCTTGGTTCTTCTGCGTGGGCGGCTGTTGGTTCTTCTATGGCCTGGTGAGGTTCGTTGGTGATTGCTAACACCGGGCGATTCACTTGATTCTCCAACCAGTCGTCCACTCTTGTATTGACTTCTGATCTTGAGTAGAGGGATGCGTCATCTTGTTCTTCCTCCTCCTCTTCTGAGTCTTCCCTTTCTAAGGCAGCAAGGCGTGCTGCGGCTAATTCCACTTGAAGGCGTAGTAAATCTTCTTTCGCCTTTGCAAGCTTGAGCTGCTTCGTTCTACTGCGTGTAGATCCCCCTCCACCTCCCTTCTTGCTGGGCGGGCGGGGTTCCTGTAGCCCGGTTTGCTTTGATGGACCGGCGGTGCTTCTTATGGCTCGCTTCGCTGTAGAAGTTTCTGTTTCTCGGTGAGTTGCTCTGGTGACAGTAGCGGGCGGCTTCATCAGCTGTTTGGCCTTCGCACCCGCAGTTAGTGTCGTCGCCGCGGATGGTGTTACGGAAGGAGCGACGGCGCTGGCGGGGTGCGTGGCGGGGGCGGCGGTTGCGGCTGAGGCTGAGGTGGCGGCGGACGAAGTGGTCGCTGCGGTGGCGGAAGTCACGGTGGATGGATCAGTCGCCGCGGAGGTGTCTGTATACTCCGAAATCTCCGTGGCGGTCGTCCCTGTAGCTGTTGATTCCGTACTGGCTTCCGCACTGGTGGTACCGGTCGCCGAGGTGGTAGCCTTGGACGACGACGGCTTGCTGCCCCTTCCCTCAGAGCGCGTAACGGCCATGCTGTTAGCTGACTTTTTCTTCGAATAATCTTGAGTCTTGAAAAACGATTTCCGAGGAGTCTTCTTAATTATTTTTCTTCAGGTAATTATTCCCCACAAGATTCGGCTGGCGAAGGACCATTAAATGTGCCCTACAGGCACATTTGTGTGCTGGATTGGTGGAGAATAAAACCGCTGTGATATTTTTCTTTCTTCTATATTTGGTGTTTTCCTTGAGGTAGCTGGCCGCCGACTGTGTCGAACGACGAAAATCGCCCCTCTTTTATACCGCCTCGGGCTGGGTCAATGGATACGGCCGACGCATCGTACAAATGGCGTCGACCAATCAGCGCGAGGCGTGACAGAGCAAGTGACGATGCTGAGTCCCGTTAGATTGTTTGTCTTAAGCTAGTTCTATATCTTACTGAGTCATTGTTTACATTGTTTACCTTAAGCTAGTTCTGTTATACAAAGTGACCAACTAATTTTATTACACAAATATAAGCTCTACACTATTATTTTCTTAACATAAAATGCTTATATCCTATCTAAACTATAATCTCTATTAATATAAATGTTTATCCTATCTAAGTACAAACTAACTATATAATATTTATTCCATTAATATAAATGTTTTTGTCTTATTTATGTATCACTATTTGTTTTTCTCTTGTCCCGCACAGATGGCGAGAGGAAAATAAAAGTAACATTTTAATGTTTTTAAAAATTCGTAAAACAACAATACCTATTAAAAACTACATTCTTTGTTCAGATACTTACATATATCAACTTATTTTGAGAAATTCATGTACGAACAATAAGAATATATACGTAAAACTTACCTAAATATCCGATTGATGTTGCGCCAACAGTGTCCCGCACTCTCATTTGCGTGTATTGCCGCCGAACGCCGCACGCACCCTGGCCGTTGAACGTGGGTAGCAGGAGGAGTAGCATGGCACACGTTTGGAACAATTCGTGGTGCTTAATTTTAGAAATATTACGGTATTCCATATTAGGGACGTATTCCATAATTGGTACCTTTACTGATTTTTTTTTAAATTCGTTTAAGTATTCCATCTTCGGTCCTTTTGCTCTAAGTCTTAAGATGAACATAGACAAAACAAAAGTCACGTTTAACATCCATGTCACGCCTATGCCGGTAGTTGTTGGGAGCACTAAGCTCGAAGTTGCTGACGAATATGTTTACCTGGGATAAATAGTCCGACTAGGTAAGTCCGACTTCGACCGAGAGGTCAATGCGTTCAGGAAATTACGGCACTTCTTCTCGTCAGGCATACTTCAAACCTCAAACACTAGATTGCACAACCAGTGCGTGTCGCCAGTGATGACCTATGGATCTGAGACGTGGTCCTTTACTGCTGGCCGCATGAGGGAGCTCAAAGTCGCTCAGCGAACTACGGAGAGGGCTATGCTCGGGGTTCCTCTGCGTGATAAACTTAAGAATGAGGATATCCGTAGTAGAACCAGAGAAAACGATATCGCCCAATGCATTAGTAAGCTGAAGTGGCAATGGGCCGACCATATAGCTCAAAGAACCGACAACCGATAGGGAAGAAAGGTTCTCGAGTGGCAGCGTCGTACCGGCAGGCGAAGTGTAAGGCATCCCCCCACTAGAGGGAGTGACGACCTGCAGGAGGGCAATGGATGCAGGTGGCTCGGATATGTGAACGATACATTATAAGTCTGTAACTAATCTATATAGGATTAGGAAGTAAAACATTTGACGCCAATATAGACGAGATGGTAATGAGCCAGCCAGCGAGCGGCTTGAAATCCCACTGGAGGCAATTTTTTATGACTATGATATTAGGCGGATTATATTTATTTATAATAGTTTATATTCAAACTAGAATATTAAATTACTCAACTTATGTTAGTATTTTTAGTTTTACTTTACTATTTGTTCATATAGTAATTTTTTTGAAGAAGAACCTGCGAGTAACCCAACTGATTAATTCGTTTAAAATAAAATATAATTATTTACCAAACTTTAACAAAATATAAAACTAAATATATAAATTATCGTAGAAACAGCTTTGTAACGATCTCTTCACTCCCAGAGAGTTATTATCTCTTGTCAAGGCACGAGGTCGTTCTTTCGTTAATACTAATCCAAGTAACGACCTTTTTATCTCTTACACTCTCGTTATAAATTTACTACGATTAATGTGACGGTGGATTGCATCCCGAGCAGGATTTTTAAGTGTTCTTTAGGGCCACACACGTAGATAAAAAAATGAAATACTCGTAGTGTTGTGACCGTCGATTGTAGTTAAGACCGGAGATCGGGGTAATAAGAATTTAGAAACAGAAGAATTTCACTTAATAGGTATTATTTTTCAATGCTTGTGTTAAGTTAAGGTTAGAGTGGCATACGAAGTAACAGTCTACTTGATGGAAAATGGCTGCTACAAACCATATACAAATGCAACTAACTTCTAACAAAGAGTGTGATTATGCTGACTCTCATCCAGTTTAAACTGAAACTCAGAAGCAAACATACTACTACTTGAAGGCAGAAATAGTCTAGAGGGTGGTATTGCTATTGCTACCATCCCAGACAGACTCCCAGTCAGATAAGAAAGGAAAGTGGCCCTTTTACATGGTATGTTAGGTTTTATGCGCACTTTAAAAATGTAAAATGAAATTATGAAGATTGAATTTAAGTGTCAAAAAACTAAATTTAACTAATAATTTTATTTAACTTTTACGTATGCTTTATTACTATATGTATGCTAACTTACACACTTTTTTTGGTAACAATCTCAATAAGGAGACATCTATACCAATAAATAAAATTGAAGTGTGTGTTTGTAATGTTAAAATAACAGGTTTTTACTAAATGCATATGGGAGTATAATACGGAACTAGTAACAAAAAAAAACAATTTTAAAAAATTTTTTGAGTAATTTAGGATACTTTTACTTTTGAAAATGAATTAGAGTTTCGCGCAATAAAATTAAAACATAAAATCGTAGTAAATTCCACGCGGGCGAAGTCGCGGGGGACAGCTAGTTTATAATATATCGATTGAATGCAGAGGTGAACTTGTCAACATGTTTTTGTTGACAATGCGATGACATGATGAATGACAGGTGACTTTTGTCACCTGCATGTGGTACATCCAATATATATATATATATATATATATATATATATATATATATATATATATATATATATATATATAATTGTCTGATGTCTTCGGTATATTCATAAACACAAATACTGAAGCCTGTAGAGTAACATTACAAATAAATTGGCATTGGGTTTGCGCTTACAAACCTAGTAGTAAGTACACTGTACAACATGGTAAGTCCTATCTATATACCTAGATTAAATAGGTAGATTTAAAAAAATATTAGTAACGTTATTAAACATTACTAATATTCCCTTTAACCACTTCTGATAAGCTTAAAAATGCTTGTGTTAGAAGTGGTTCACGACAGTAGTCGAATGGCGGATTTGAACCCAGGACCTTACGAGTTCGCGGTCCGAGCCCTGTCATTAGGCTACTGACGCTTCACAATAAATAAGAATATAAAAACATAAGGCATTGAGCATTTACGACGTGAGATATTAATCACTGAATTAGAAGTCATTTGTTAGAAGTATCTACACATGTAATTTTAGATCTAACTAGAATATAACGTTATAATAATTTCATTAGTACCAAGTTTTGTCACTTAATAAACAAAAAAATAAACTTCTTATCTATAATCTAACAGAACTACCTCTGACTGTATAACTGATGATAACGAATAACAATTATTTTGCACGCGATGCTCTATGTGACATATATTTATTATTTTTGGGTGTCATTGGTTCATCTACAACATTTTTATTTTCTCGACAAAGTGCCGCCGGTACTGACCCACAATGTCGTATATGGGCTTCACCATATTCAGTGTCTTCAGGGTCATAACGGTATTAGCTATTTGGCAGAACTATTGTGTATCACTGAGCAACACGTCTTCTTGTTCAGTGATAGCTTAGGCAGACGTTCACCGTGACTCATCACAGAACACAAGTGTACCGTTTATGATTTCCGAAAGTGACAAAGAAATTATTAGAAGCAGTTTTAAGTGATCCTTTACAACGAGCTCACTGATGAAGCAAACTAACCTGAGAAAAATCTTTGTCTCGTGAAAACCTTGAAAACATGTTACTGAATGTAAACTATAACAGAGCAGCTTGACGGACAGCGTGTCTTTAACATAATTTTTCGGTGAACCCGCTTGCAGGACTTTCAATTAAACGGAGATTATATTTATATATATATATATATATATATATATATATATATATATATATATATATATTTACATTGTAATAGATGTTACCTATATTTTCCTATGTCTCCTCATAGTCCTGTAATCTGTTACTGTTGCCACTAAGCCACACGATCCAAGTATGATGTTTAATATAAGAATGTATTCAAAATACCATTATTTTTCACTGACATAGTACATCCCTAATTATAAATTTAAAAAAATGTGTGGTCGCGTCGTGTGTTGTCTTGTCTCTTTGGTTTCAGTGTATAGTGTACACGCTTTTGTTCTTCCTCACGTTTATAAGCGCGGTGTAGATTAATGATAAAAATTATAAACTTGTCTTAGTTGTGCCATTAATAATAATAAACATTATTCATACCACAGGTACACTATTCTTAATAATTTAAAATTAAAATTTTTGTACAACCGACTTCAATTTCAATTATTAAGAATAACTCAAAAACTATTGGTCAGACCTTGATCAAATTGTGTGCATGTGAAGCATCAGCTTTCAAATAAAAAAGATTCATCGAAATCGGTTCACCCAGAAAGAAGTTATGTGAGGTAACATATAAAAAACATACAGTGGAATTGAGTACCTCCTCCTTTTTGAAGTCGGTAGAAAAACAGGCAGGTTTGTGCAATAAAACTTATTTTTGCATGTGCATTGAAACATCGTCTTTGTATATCTTATCCGATCCTTCCACCATATAAGCCTTAATC